AATTAAAAAAAAAAACCAAATGACATTACAAGAAAACTATATAACGATATCCTTCACGAAGATAGATACAAAGACCATCTTCAAAGTATTAGCAAATAGAACCTATATATATATATACACACACACACATAAATCCATGTATATATATATCAATATATATTATGACCATGTGGTGTTTATCCTGGGAATGCAAAGTTATTTTAAGATTTGAAAATCAATCGATAATTCATCATATCAATATACTTAGGGGAAAAAGTCACATCACTAAAGAAATGATTATCTTGACAGATGCATAGAAAGCACCTGACAAAATCAAATCTCGTTTTATTCATGATAACACACTCAATATATTAGAAACAGAAGGAAACTCCCAATCCGATAAAAGGCATTTACAACTAACCTAAAGCTAATATTATACTTAACGATGAAAGACTGTCTGGGCACAGTGGCTCATGCCTATAATCCCAACTACTTGGGAGGCTGAGGAGGGAGGATTCCTTGAGGCCAGGAGTTCAAGAGCAGCCTGGGGATGGAGATACAGTGAGACCCTGTTTCATTTAAAAAAAAAAAAAAAAAGAGAGAGAGAGAGAGAAAAGATGAAATACTTTCCTGCAAATACTGGGAATATGGCAAAGATACCTGCTCTCACCGCTACCATTCGACATTAAGCTAGAGGTCCTGGACAGTGCAATAAGGCAAATAAAAGATGAAAAAGACATATAGATTGGAAAGGAATAAAGAAAACCACCTCTATTACAGAGGACACAACCGTCTATATAGAAAATACTAAACAATCTAAAAAAGTCTTCTAAACTAAGTGAGTTTATTTAGCAAGGCCACAGTATGCAAAGTCAATATTTTCTACAATCAATTGTACTTCTACATTTTAGCAATAAACAATTAGAAATTAATATCTTTTAAAGTACCATTTACAATAGAGCCAAAACATATGAAATACCTAGGTATAAGTCAACAAAATACGTGCAAAATGTGCTAAAAACTATAAAACGTTGACTGCGGCAGGCCCCAAGAATGGCCCCCAACGATCCCTACTTCCTGGTATCACGCCCTTGGATAATCCCTTCCGCAAGAGTGGGCTGTACTTAGTGACTTGATTCTAACCAACAGAACATGGCAAAGACAACAGAATGTCACTTCTGTGATTAGGTTACAAAATGCTGTGGCTTCCATCTTGCTAGTACGCTCTCTCTATTGCCTTCCCAGTTTGCATGCTTTGATGGTGGCAAGCTGCCATGTGGGAGAAGTCTTTGTGATAAAAAACAGAGGGTGGCCTCTAGGCAATAGCCAGCAAGGAACTGAGGCCCTCAGTCAAAGAGCCTGCGAGGAACTGAATTCTGCCAATGCCACAATGAGCTTGAAACCAGATCCTTCCCTAGTTGAGCCTCCAGACCATAGGCTGACAGCGTGCTTGACTGCAACCTTGCGACAGACAGTAAGGCAGAGGATCCAGCTAGGTCATACCTGGATTCCAGACCCACAGAAACAGTGAGATAACACATGCAGGTTGCTTTAGGCCACTAAGTTTTGGGGTAATTTGTTATGCAACAATAGATAACTAACACTGACAAAAGAAATCAAAGAAGACCTAAATATTGGATAAATGGAAGGTATATCATGTTCATGTCAGGAAGACTGACCTATTGATCTATTGTGTTAACAACCCCAATCAAAATCTAAGTAGGTTTTTGTTTGGTAAAAATTGAACTGTTGATTCTAAAACTATAAAATTCCTAGAAAACAGAAAATCTTTGTGACTTTGAATTTGGCAGAATTCTTAAGACACAATATCAAAAGCACAATCCACTATACACAATTGACACAATGTACTTCACCATAATTAAAAACTGCTTTTTGACAATGTAAGAAATTGAAAAGACAAGCCATAGATGGGGAGAAAAAATTTGCAAGACACATATCTGATAAAGGACTTTGATCTAGAATAAATTAAGAACACTTAAAACTCAGTAACAGAAAACCCAATTAAAAAAAGGGATGAGGGAGAGTTGAAGAGACACATCACCAATGATATATGAATGGTAAATAAACGCTTGAAAAGATCCTCAATATTTTTAGTCATTAGGGATGTGCCAATTAAAACTACAGTGATATACCAATACAAACTTCTTAGAATGGCTAAAAACAAAACCCTGATAATACCAAATGCTGGTAAAGATGTAGAATATCAGCTCCTCCCTTCACACCCATTCTCTGGCAATCACTGATCTGTTTTCTGTCCCTATAGTTTTGCCTTTTCCAGAATATCACATAAATGGAATCACACAGTATGTACTCTTTGAGTCTGACCTTTTTCACTTAGCACAGAAGTAAGCAAAGTCTGGCCTGTTGCCTATTTTTGCAGGGCCTCTGAACTAAGAATGATTTTTTAATGGCTGGGGGAAAAAAAAGTAAAAGAATATTTCATGGCACATGAAAATTATACGAAATTGAAATTTCAGTGCCATAAATAAAGTTTTACTGGAACATAGTCACACTCATTTGTTTACCTATTGTCTATGGCCGCTGGCATGCTACAAAGACACAGCTGAGTGGATATGACAGAGACTGTATGGCCTGCAAAGCCTAAAATATTTACCATTTGGCCCATTACAGAAAAATCTTGTTGTAAAGTTAAATATATACTTACCATGACCTAGCAAGTCCTTCTCCTGGGTATCCACCCAAGAAAAACTAAAATCTATGTTCACGAAAATCTGTATGCAAATGTTTACAGTAGCTTTATTCATAATCCCCTAAAACTAGAAACAATCCCAATGTCCTTCAACTCATCAATGGACCATTGATACATCCCCACAATGGGATGTTACTCAACAGTACAGAAGAATGAACTGATGACACAAACAACAACATGAATGAATCTCAAATGCAGTAAGTCAGGGGTAAACTTGTTCTGTAAAGGGCCAGACAGTAAATATTTTAGACTTTGTGGGCTTTCCAATGATTGTATATGCCTCTAGACTCTGTATTATCATTCTTTATTCTTAGAACCCTGTAGAATGACTTCTACTTTCTGACACAAATACTGAGTAAAGACACAAAAATAGGAGACCCAGAGTGTGGCAGAAATGAATGAGATGACCCCTAATATCCATTCTCCCATTTTTCATTGATAATACAATTCCCAATGTAGCTAGGCACATGGAACAGAGTGTATTATTTTTTCCCTATGGCTACATGTAGCCATGCAACTAAGCTGTGGCCAATGGAAAATAAGTGGAAGTGTGATGTGTAATTTCCTAAGAAAGATCCACAATGAAGGGGTATGCTCTTCTCCCAAGTTTTTTCCTGGCTGAAATACGGACATGCCAGATAGAGCTTCAGTAGCCATCCCGGATCATGAGGCAGACAAAACATGCTAAGGATGAGGGAATAGCAAGTCAGGAGAAACCTGGACCTTAGAACTCTTTGAAGCCCCTCTATGAGCTCTGGAGCACCTAACTCTGGACTCCTGTCATGAGACAGAGAAGAGATAATTCTATCTTGTTTAAGCCATTATTGTTTTGGATTTACTCATAGCCAAAGCTAATCCTAAGTATACACAGTTAAAACTCATTCCTCATAAAGGCAATGACTGAATGAGACTATTGAGGATCTCTTGCTACACAGACTTCAGAGCTGTCTGGTTCCACTCAATTCCTAGCTTGGTTCTTCTTCAACCTCTGATGTGGTGAGCTTCACATACCCTTCCATTATTATTCCCTTTTTGCTTAAGTGAGACAGATGGGTTTCTATTCTGTCTTGCAAACAAAGAACCTTAACCGATAGAAGAAATTTTAGACACTTTGGAAAAATCTGAACAGTGTTTGGGTTGAGTGTCTATCGCATGAATAAAAGAAACAAAATTTTCTAGGATACAATTCCAGACTCAAATCAGCCTAAGTCATCCTATTTTCACATACCGCTGCTTATCATGCCCAGTACCTGTGACCCAGTAGTAAATATCCCAGTCATTACTAGGCTCGTTAATCAGACGATCATAGAGGTTCAGCTGCTTCTCTGTCATGTGCTGCAGATGTTCTTTAGCAAAGAGGCTAAAAATGAGAAAGAAAAAGAGGTTGAAAAGGCTGCCTCTAGTCAAAGAGAAGTGATAATAAGACTCCTATTCCCATACCTAAGGAGAATGCAGTTTTCCAACATTCCCCTTTTTCTGCTCTCATAGAGTAGGCGGGCTCTTTTGGTTTCTATGGATTCATCAGTTCTCTCCTGCCATGGAGGCAAAGGGATTTCAATCATGTCTTTTTGAGAATCTGTTGGGCTGTCACCTCTGTAGAAGCGTCTGAACCATGTTGTGCTGAGCAAAGGAGAAAACAGGCTGCGTCTTGACAGAGCAAGCGTCTGAAACAAACCACAAACATCTTTATAATAACAACTATCATCACTGTCATTTACCCAATGCTTACTAGGTGCTAAATGCATTCAATCTCATTTAATCTTTAAGAAGTTATGCTGATACTGTCCCCACTTGACAGCCAAGGAAACAGAGGCTCAGAGGGGTTAAATAATTTAGCCCGAATTGTCCAAATAAGAATTGTAGTTAGGATTGAAACCTAGTCCTAACTGCAAACGTGTTCTTAACCAGTGCCTTTCCAGAAATTAACCCAGCAGAAATAATTTCTCTTTCGTTAGCATTCCCTTAAAATTTTTACAGTATAGTTTATATTCTATCCACTCACCCATAAACCCTGAGCATACAGATAGCATAGTCCCTCATCCCCCAAAGGCTCCCAATCTAGAGAAGGGCATAAATTATCAAGATGAGATGTGAAGGCGGTGACCTCAGCAAGACGGTAGAACAGGAAGCCCCAGACCCTTCTCCCCCTGAATGACACACTGATTCAACAAGAATACATAGTCTAATTCCCTTGGTGAGAAATCCAGAAACCAGTCAAGAGGCTCCTGCACCCCGGACGGGGGCAAAACCAGCTGCATCAAAGCCAGCAGAATAGTTTGTAGCACTCACTGGCCACAGTCCCTCCATCCCTACCCAGGTTCAGTGTGGCACGATCATGAGAAAACTCCCAGCCTTCTGCCTGGGGAGGGAAAGAGAAAACTGAAAAGTATGTCCAATGTTCAGACTTTTTTTGGGGGGGGGTCACCCAAGGGGCTGGTTTCTGTCTTGCCTGAATCTAAGTGCTGACAGGAGAGGGCACCATGTGAAGGGCAATGGAGAACAAGAGTGACAGTTTAGACTAGCAAGCACTCACTCATCCTAATGCCCATCCCTGGCTCAGTGCAGAGCAAGGAGAAAACCCCTACCTCCCAGCTTCTCCCTGGGCAGGGAAAGAGCTGGAGTGTGCATCTATTGTTCCAGCTTGTCAGGGGGCTGCCCATGAAACTGGTTTCTGTCTTGAAGCACTTGACAGGACCCAGCATACTCTAGATGCTGGGGGGCCACTGACAACAAAAGAGGTGAGTGGTTTGCTGCTGATCCAGAAGACTCCTGAAATAGCAGAAAAAGGCCAACATCGTTTGGTGGCCTCTCCTTGGGGCAGTGATTTTTGGGGAGCTGCCTGGGGGCCGGTTTCTGTCTTGCCCAGCTTGGAACACTGATGGGACCTGGCATACTTTAGAAGTCTGAAGGCCCTTCTGAATTAGAGAGCTGGGTGACTTGTGACAACTCCAGAGAAACTGCAGTATTACAGACAGATACCACAGGCAACAAAAAATTACAAGCTCTGAAAACGGAACTAGCAAATCCCTCTAACTGGGAATTTAAACCCACAAATACAGAGAAGACACATTCTCAGAAAAGGATTGAGAGGCCCTCAGAATCTCTCACCAGGCTGATTGGTGAAGGTCAATTGCTAGTATGAGGACAGTCCGTAAAGACTGGGAGAGATGAATGTTTTTTTAAATGCAGGGATTCCAGCACACAGTTACAGCGTACACAAACAAACAGGAAAACATGGTCTAATTAAAAGAACAAAATAAATCTTCAGAAACTAACCTTAAAGAAACAGAGGTATAAGAATATCTGACAAACAATTAAAAATAAACGTAATAAAGAGGTTCAACAAGCTCAGGAAAGTAATGGTTGAACAAAATGAGAACAAAAACAGAAAGATAGAAAACATAAAAAAAGAACCAAACAGAAATTTTGGAGTTGAAGAATAACTGAAATGCAAAATTCATGAGAGGGGTTCAGTAGCAGACTTGATCAAGTAAAAGAAAAGAGTCAGCAAACTCAAAGACAGGTCATTTGAAATTACCAATCAGAGGAGTAAAAAAAAAAAGAATGAAAAAGAGCAAAGAAAGACTAAGGGAGTTATGGGACATCTTCGAACAGATCAATATACACATTACGGGAGCCCAGAGAAAAAAGGAAAGGGGAAGAAAGTTTATTTGAAGAAATAATGGAGGAAAACTTCCAAAATTTGGGGAAAGAATGGACATCTAGATTCAAGGAGCTAGCATGAACCAAATAGCAGGAACCCAGAGAAGTCCACACTGAGACACAATATAATGAACTTATAAAAAGTCAGAAAAAGCCGGGCACCATGGAGCATGCCTGTAGTTCTAACTACTCAGAAGTCTGAGGCAGGAGGATCACTGGAGCCCAGGATTTCGAGCCCAGTCTGGGCAACATATTGAGAGCCCCTCTCTTAAGTAAAAAAAACCATGGCACAGTGAAAAGGTGCCCATTTGCAAGCCAAGGAGAGAAACCTCAAAAGAAACTAAATCTGCCAACACCTTGATCTTGGACTTTTAGCCTTCAGAACTGTGAAAAAATTAATTTCTGTTGTTTAAGTCACCCAGTCTGTGGTATTTTTTTATGGTAGCCCTAGCAAACTAATATAGCATATAATGAAAATTCAGATGCCCAAGCCCTACCCTAAATATTCTGGATTAGAATCTCTAGGATCGGGCACTGGCAAATACATTTATTTTTTTTATTTTTATTTTTATTTTTTTGAGACAGAGTCTCACTCTGTTGCCCTGGCTAGAGTGAGTGCCGTGGCATCAGCCTAGCTCACAGCAACCTCAAACTCCTGGGCTCAAGCAATCCTACTGCCTCAGCCTCCCAAGTAGCTGGGACTACAGGCATGCGCCACCATGCCCGGCTAATTAATTTTTTCTATATATTTTTAGCTGTCCAATTAATTTCTTTCTACTTTTGGTAGAGACGGGGTCTCGCTCTTGCCCAGGCTGGTCTCGAACTCCTGAGCTCAAAGAATCCGCCCGCCTCGGCCTCCCAGAGTGCTAGGATTACAGGCGTGAGCCACCGCGCCCGGCGGCAAATACATTTTTTAACAAGCCCTCCAGGAAATTCTGATGCACACTGAGGGTAAAGATTCCTACTTTCTACACTAAAATAATTTAGTGGGGTAAGCAATTTCTACAGAAATCAAACAAGATAGGGAGAACCAGAAGCAGCAGCATAGGGAAATTATTCTAATATTTGGAATCTCTTATTATCCTAGCCAAATTTCACCCATTTTTTTCTATTAGTTTCAAGGCAGCATTCCAGAAATGAAAGAATACTGGGTGTGGCATGGATCCATGAGCCCTGGGAATTGTGTGACACTGGTATGAGCTACATTAAAGAAATTATCACTGGAAATTTATAACGGAATATATTTGAGTTGTCTTTGCATCCATGAATATCTTTATAATTATTTTGTTTTAAAAAGTATGCTTCTCTGGTTCGTATTTATATCCTTTGTTAAAGGTAATTATTTTTCCAGAAAAAAATTGTCAAAAATCAAAGACAAAGAGAATTTAGAAAGCAGCAAGAAAAAGAAACTCATCACATATAACAGAGCCCCCATGAGAATATCATAGAATTTCTCAGTATAAACCCTGCTGGCTAAGAATGAAATGATGTAATTCAAAATGCTGAGAGAAAAAAATGCCAACCAAATATACTATATCAGCAAAACTGTCCTTCAAAAATGTAGGAGAAATAAAGACTTTTCCAGATAAGCAAAACCTATGAAGTTCATCACCACTAGACCTGCCTTAAAAGAAATGTTAAAGGGAATCCTTCGGGTAGAAGTGAGAGGATGTTAGACAGCAATACATAAGCATATAAAAATATAAAGCTCACTGGCAGAGGCAAATACAAATACAGAATACTATAATATTCTTTTTTATTTTTATTTTTTATTTCAGAGTATTACGGGGAATATTGTAATATTCTAACAGTGGTATGCAAATCACTTTTAATTTTGGCATAGAAGTTAAAGACAAAAGTATAAAAATAACCACAACTCTAAGAATTTAATTGATATACAACATAAAAAGATATAATTTTGACCTTAATAACATAAAAAGGGGGAGTAGAAGAGCAGAGTTTTTGTATGTAATGGAAATTAAGGTGATATCAGCCTAGAATAGATTGTTATGTTTTATGTAAAGCCATGGTAACCACAAAGAAAATGCCTGCAGAAGACACACAAAAGAAAACGAGAAATGAACCAAAGCGTGTCACTACAAAAAAAATCAACAAAACACAAAGGATGACAGTAAGAAAGGAAAAAAGGAACAAAAAAGCTACAAGACAAAAAACAATTTACAAAATGGCACTAGTAAGTACAAATGGCGCTCCACATCTGCAGACTCAACCCACTGTGGATTGAACTAACTGTGGACTGAAAATACTTGGGGGAAAAAAACCAAACAAATAGCAAATAAACACAACAATAAAAGATTATACCAATAAAAAACAATACAGTGTAATAATTATTTATGTAGTATTTACATTATATTAGGTATTATAAGTAATCTAGAGATGATTTATGCAAATACCATGCCATTTTATACAAGAGACTTGAGCATCCATGGATTTTGGTATCCATGAGGAGTCCTGGAACAGTCATCCTGGGGGACGACTGTATTTCCCTATATCAGTAATTACTTTAAATATAAATGGATTAAATTCCCCAGTCAAAAGACAGAGTAGCTGAATGGACAAAGAAAAAAAAAACCCAAGGCCGGACATGGTGGCTCACGCCTGCAATCCTAGCACTCTGGGAGGCCGAGGCGGGAGGATCGCTTGAGGTCAGGAGTTTGAGACCAGCCTGAGCAAGAGCGAGGCCCTGTCTCTACTAAAAATAGAGAGAAATTAGCCGGCAACTAAAAATATATAGAAAAAATTATCCGGGCATGGTGGTGCATGCCTGCAGTCCCAGCTACCTGGGAGGCTGAGGCAGAAGGATTCCTTAAGCTCAGGAGTTTGAGGTTGCTGTGAGCTATGATGACACCGCTGCACTCTAGCCCAGGTGACACAGCAAGACCCTGTATTAAAAAAAAAAAGGAAAGAAAGAAAAGAAAGAGACAGAAAAAGAAAGAGAGATATGAGGGTATGAGGGCTTGCTATGTTGCTCAGGCTGGACTTGAACTCTTGGGCTCAGGCGATCCTCCTGCCTCAGCCTCCCGAGTAGCTGGGATTATAGGTATGTGCCACTGTGCCCAGTTAAGAGACTCGTTTCAGATTTAAGGACACATGCAGGCTGAAAAATGATGTTCC